GGAGAGCCATCCGGTACGCGTTCTTCGCTGGGGGTTTAACCCCAAGGAGGAGTTCAATTTTGTGATCAATGCCTCGACGGTGTGGTAATGTTTGTGGTAAGCTCTCTGGCATTATGTCAGCATAACTGTTTAGTACCTCCTTGATTTCGCTTGTAATAGTTTCCTCAGTGGTCACTTCTTCCATCAATGGTATAGCCATAAATGTAGGTTTCTCTCCTACGAGTCCTCTTTTCAATTATATGGCCGAGATCATTCTAAGATTACCTAGTTGCTTGATGCTTACAGGTATTACTGTGGGGTTGCGGTCGGTGATCACCAAGCATTTCGCCAATGAAGTTGTGTTCTAAGAGGAACTCCATCCCAAGTACCACATCAAAGTCGTCCATGCGAACCACGACAAGGTCCAACTCTCGTGTCCAAGCCCCTAATTTAAAGGGGACTCTTTTGGAAACTCCCATAATAGGCAAGGTCTCAGAGTTGACAGCTTTCATTTTTCCAGGGTTCTTTTCTATGGTGAGTCCCAATCTTCATGCTTCTTGATCGACGATGAAGTTGTGGGTCGCTCCTGAGTCTATCAAGGTGCTCTTGCTTGGTCGAGAGTTTATTGTCGCATCCACAAACATGAGCCCTTTCTCTATTATCTTCTTCGAGTCGACCTTTCATTGGAGGGCTGACAAGAATTTGAGCGCGCCCTTTCGGGGGGTTGTCTTGATCTTCCTTCTTGTCTAACATAGTCTCGACTCTTGTGTTGTTGCTCTCTTGAATGGACACTTGGCGTGCACTGAGAGAGGCCCGATGAGGACAGTAGGACACTTTGTGGGGGCCTTTACACAACAGGCATTTTAAAGGTGTTGTCGGATGGTTCCTTTGAGGGTAAGGTCCTCGAGATGTCCCTGCTTGGTTGTTTTGATGAGGTTTATCTGTCCACCCACTTGGTCTGTCGTTACTTTTGTTTGGCCTATTGGGGCTTCCATTTCGATGACCTAGCGGCTTATATGTTTTGCCCCAGTGTTTGGGGCCTGTGTAGTTTTTCTTTGGTAACTCGCTTCATTCCCATAGTCTAGGAGTCTCTCAGTGCTGGCAATTGCGGTAGCTAGGTCTTGGACCTTTTTCTCGTGTACTTTTTTTTTTAGCCCACGGTTGTAACTCATTTATAAAGAACACCTTGTCCTTCTCTGATGTGCCCCTGATATCTAGCATCAGGGTCGAGAACTGTTTGACATAGTCCCTTATGCTTCTAGCTTGCTTTACGACTATTAGTTTTTTCATTGCTAGATGCTCTACGTTTTCGAGGAGGAATTGGTCCCTCAACTCTCTCTTGAGGTCTTCCCACGAGTCCATGGTGCACAATCCATTCTTGATGTCTTGCACATTCGTACGCCACCAAAGTTTGGCATTGTCTATGAGATACATCGAGGCTAATGTCACCTTTATGTCGTCGGTACAAGCCAGTGTGGCTTTGAAGTACTGTTCGACATCAAAGATGAAGTTCTCCAACTCTTTGGCATCCCGATTCCCTTTGAAAGGTCTAGGGTATAGGAGCTTCAGTTTGTTGGATCCTGTATTAGTTTGCTCAGCCGAGACGTTCTCCACGGCTTTCATGGTCACCTCAATTCGGGTGCTCATGACGGACATCTTTCCTTGGATGTCATCGATCGTTGTTCTGAATTCGTCAGCTAATCCATTGAACAAACTCATCATTGTATTTTGAAGCACGTCGAACTCTTCGTCACGTCCCTTCTTGTGTGCGACAGAGCTATCAGGGCTACCAGACGGTCTTGGGCTGCTCGTAGGAGCAACTTTTTCTTCGAGTGAGGTCACTCGACACATCAGTTCTGCGATTGGCACCCATCTAGGTGGTTACCCATTGCGTCGATTTCTACGACTTTTCCATTCAATTCTGTCACCCGTGCTTCCAGGAAGTGGATGGTGTCAGGGACTTCTTTGAGGAACAACATTTCCTCCTCTATTAAAGTAAGCCGGTCGGCTTGTGATTTGGGTGTCGACATTGTCGTCGACATGTTTTTGGTCTTTGCTATTTCACGGAGCTTACAAAGCTCTTATACCACTTGTCACAATCGCACTTTTGACTTGCGATTGTGCGGCACTCACTTTCCAATGACAAGTGAGCTAAGCCAATTCGTTCTTGCGTCGCCTACAACCAAGCAACGTATGCTCGAGCCTCTGGCCTTGGTTTTAAGAAAATGTTTTAAAAAATGAGGGCAGAGAGAGATTTTTGAAAGAGACGTTATATAAGCAAGCAAGAGAGAAATAACAACGGCTCACAATATATAACCTTGGGTAGGGAGAAGTTGACAACTAGTCGTATCCCCCTATAGTACATTCTGAGACATTTCATGTTTGACAGGCCTAGACATGATATTTCTGAAACGTCCTTCCTAAAAATACAGAAGTAAAACACTAGAATATGAAAAGACATAAAGGGTTGGGCTTGTCATGGGCATGCGGCCATGGGCAACATGCCTTGGACGAGCATGACCGTGACACCCTGCTCATAATATTAAAAGCTTTCATTAGTAAAGACAAACAAGAGAATGGTTGGGATCCCTTTCTTTCTACTTTCTTTATAGATTTGTACATAAAATGTTATTATTAAAATTTATTAAAAATGGTATTTGTTTAGGGTTGGTTCTCGGTCCTGAGTGGTGACGAGCTAGTAGATGCTCGACATGAATTGAGGTGAAGCTATGCAAGGCTAGATTGAAGTTTGAGCATGCGCTGACACGTGTTGGGCTAAGAAAATGATGGGTCGTGTAACTTGGGCTTGGGTCAACTGGGTTGCGAGCGAGTCTAAGGACTAAAATACTAGTGGGTTTGGTTTTCGAACCTAGCTTCAGATATGAACCTATGGTTTGGGTTTTAAGTTTTAATTATTCTTGCATAGTAATTTCCTAGAACATTAGCCACTTTTATATTTAGTTTTTTTTTCGTAATTATCGATGTTTCTCTAGCCCTAAGATTGAAAATACAGTCAACGATTAGAGTAGACGTGTCATAATTTTGGTATTAAAGTTCTACTCCAAAGATCTAAATTCCTATAACATGTAGATCGTGCTCCATAGTCAATTTCTAATCTTAAATTAACATTTCATTAACGCATGCTCAATTCTTGAAATTTTATTTTCAAGTTTAAAACGTACACTATTCCATATTCGATCTAAAAAAAATGCATGGGATTTACACAGTTGACGAAGAGGATGGTTTGAGAACAAGACTTTACTGCATTGGGTCCTTTCATGTCGATCTATCCCCTCTTGTGTTCAAACATTGCTGCTCGTGACCCCCACATAGCTAGTCAACTATTCTAAATCTTGCGACAAATGATTTTGTGATAAATGGAAATGTAAAATATTTGCATAAATATGAGAATCAGTATTTGGTTTACACACCCTTACAAAGAATGCTTCCTACTCCTCAGACCAATAAGGGCTCTTAGTGGATAATATCTACAAGTGTTAGGGGGTTTCGGTTAAAAGTATCATTACTTTACCAATGATAAGAATTTGGTAGATTTAAACTTTTCAAAGTTAAGTCATGGAAGAAAAGTACCATTATGGACATCAATTGAACTCACCATAGTTTTAAAAGTGTGAAAACATGATTTTTAAAACTCTAAATTTTGAGAATATATCAAAGTTCGAGTTGGTTCTCTTACACGCCACGTCACAAAACCAAGTTAATTGAAAATTTTTACTAGGGAGAAGAACAAACATCGTTATAAGTTATGCTTCATTTCCATCGCTAAAGGAAGGGCTTGATGACCTCTAACCTTGTGGTTAACAGCCACATGCTCTAACCAACTGAGCTATTCCATCCAATTATTTGTTATAATCCAAGCCCACCACCACTTGATATTGAATGGTTTCGTTCATTACGTATCATTGTCAGCCTCATGGTTTTAAATTGTATCAACTAAGGAGAGGTTTTTAGACCTTTGTAAGAAATGTTTCTTCACCTCTCCAATCGACACGTGATCTACTTATCCAACCCTTTTGAGAGGCAACCCTTCTGAGAGCCAAGCGTCCTCACTGGCAAATCGCCTAGTGACTTGCTCTGATATCATTTGTAAAAGTCCAAGCGCACTGCTAGTAGACATTGTTCATTTTGGCACATTAGGTATTGTCATCAGCCTCACAGTTTACACACTTATATAAGGAATGCTTCATACCCTCTCAAACCTGTACGGGATTGCAAAATAAGCAATCACAATGACTGAGTGGTCTAAGGCGCCAGACTCAAGTTTTGGTCCTCATAAGAGGGCGTGGGTTTTCAAATCCCACCTCTAACAACTCATGATTTTGAGGCAAGAGGCAAGCCAAAATGGATAATATCTACTATCGTTGTGGGCTTGGGTCAAAAGCATCATTAGTTTATCAAATGATAAGAAGAACTTTGTAGATTTTAAATTTTCAAAGTGATATGAAATCAACCCGAGGGAAAGTATGTGTTAAAAATCGAGTGTTTATTTAAATTGTTGTCAGTTAGTATCTGATTAAATCTCCTTGAGTTGATTTAGTTTTGATTTGTTTATTGGTTTGCTACCAGATTTTGTGCATATTTTTTTAGTAGATTTTCTAAATATCTTTTTGTATTCTTTCTCTATATATAGAGGCTTCTTGCTCTTCATAATACAATCTTCTCATCAACCATTCAATCACTCACTCTTCTCACTAACAATTGGTATTAGAGCAGTCTTCTTAAGGGATTTGTGAGATCAAATGGGAGGAGAATCAAGTTTTTTAGTTGTTGCACCACCAGTTTTCGATGGAGACAATTATCAAATGTGGGAAGTTCGTATGAAGACTTATCTGAAGTCTTTGGATCTTTGGGAAGCAATAGAAGAGGATTACAAGGTCCCTCCACTTCTAGCAAATCCTACTGTAGCACAAATCAAATAACAGAAGGACAAGAAGACAAGAAAATCAAAGGTAAAAGCTTGCCTATTTGCAGCTGTATCTCAAATGATCTTCATGTGAATAATGTCCCTTAAAATAGCAAAGGAAATTTTGGATTATCTCAAGGCTAAATATGAAGGAGATGAGAGGATTCGTGGAATGAAAGTTCTGAATTTGATTAGGGATTTTGAGTTGCAAAAGATGAAGGAGTCTGAGTTGGTGAAGAAGTGCTCTAACAGATTTCTCAGCATTGCTAACAAGGTGAGATTGCTTGGTTCTATGTTAAATGATTCCAGGATCATTGAAAACTTGCTAGTCACTATTCTAGAGAAATTTGAAGCCACCATTACTACTCTCGAGAACACCAAAGACCTGTCAAAGATTTCTCTTATAGTGCTCTTGAACGTTTTACAAGCACAAGAGCAAAGGAGGTCTATGAGGCAAGATGGGGTGATTGAAGGTGTCTTACTTGTTAAGCATCAAGACAACATCAGGTATAAAAACAAGAAAAATTTCAAAATCCAATAGACGAATGGTGATTCATCTGCCAATTATCAAAAGACAAAAGGAGGAGGTTCCAAAAAATCCTATCCACCTTGCTACCATTGTGATTAGAAAGGTCATCCACCATACAAGTGTTGGAGAAGACCTGACGCCAAATGCTCCAAATGCAATCAACTTGAACATGAAATTATGATCTGCAAAGTCAAAGGACAGGTGAAAGAGTAGATGCACATATAGTTGATCAAGAAGAAGAAGATCAATTGTTTGTGGTCCCTTGTTTCTCAGGCAAAGAATCAAGCGAGATCTGGTTGATTGACAGTGGGTGCACGAATCATATGACATATAACAAGAAGTTTTTTGAGGAATTAAGAGACACTGAAGTTAAGAGAGTAAGGATTGACAATGGTGAACACTTGGAAGTAAGTGAAAAGGCACAATAGCTATAACAAGTTATGAAGTTACAAAATTTATTCCAGATGTTTTATTTTTAACTAAAATTGATCAAAATTTCTTAAGTGTTGGTCAGTTACTTGATAAAGGCTATAAAGTGTTGTTTGAAAAATAAGCAGTGCGTGATCAGAGATGTTAGTGGCAAAGACTTGTTCAATGTCAAAATGAAAGGAATAATCTTTGCTCTAAATCCGACGGCCTTTGTATCCAGAGTTAGTGTCACTAAGATTTGGCATAAAAGACGTAGGCACTTTCATCATCGAGGTTTGCTTTAGATGTAGTCAAAGAAGCTGGTAGAAGAACTCACTGACATTGATAATGACATGCCTCTTTGTCGTACTTGTAATTTTGAGAAGCAACATATACAACCCTTTCCTAAACAGACATGGAGAGCCTCAAAAAAACTGCAACTGGTTCATTTTAATCTTTGTGGTCCTCAGCAAACACCATCATTAAATGATAATCTTCATTACATTGTTTTTATTGATGATCTAACAAGAATGTGTTGGATATTCTTGTTGAAGCAAAAGTCAGAAGTTGCGGGTGTATTTTGGAAATTCAAAGCCAGAGTTGAGAATGAAAGTGCATACTTGATTCAAATGGTAAGATCAGATAATGGCACTTCAGAAACTTTTAACAGGTTTTGTGAAGAGGCTGGAGTTGAACATCAATTGTCAGCACTATACACTCCTCAACGGAATAACGTCCGTGATGATGGTGTTAATATAACACATGCAGAAGCAATTTGGATCTTAGGCACTCTTAGAACATCAATTATAGTAAATAACTAGCATGTTCATAAGTATTAAAACTCAAGATGTTTGAGTACTAACCTTTTGTAGTTCAAATTCCTTTTTCCTCACAAACCGATTTCGAACCACCACTAGTGTCTTCTCCACTATTCTACAGTCTTAGAACAGGATTGTGGAATCTGGTGAGTGACTTAACTTATGAGGGATTAGTATATATGAAGAGAGATTTTGTGAGAGTTTTTCTCCAGGTTTTTCCAAGGGAGAAGTTTCATGTACCTTGATCATTCTACTTATAGAGTCATATTTGCATGTTCATGCAAATTTGAGATCACCAAATTTTGACACTCAAAATTTCACTCAAATGTTTGAGATCATGTGTCAAGCATGCAAGTTTGAGTTAACCAAATTTTGACACCTCAAAATTCCACTAACTCAAACCTGAATTTTTTCATTAAGTGAAGTCAACTCATTTTAATTTAACAATTAATTTGAATAATTAATTTCAAATTAAAATAATATTAAAGGATTAATTAAACTATTTAATTAATATTTAATATTAATTCAAATGCCAATTTCAATCAATTCCGACACATATTTGATTAAAATATTTAAATCTTATTTAAATATTTCCGATTCTCTTTTTTGTTTAATTCGTAAATAAAAAAAATGAGGTTAAATATATCGTATATATATAGCGCATATTCTCTAGTTTGAATTCAAACACTTCGAACTCACTCGTCACACTGTTCTACAGCTAAGTCCGATATGAGCTAGCAGAGGGACCTAATAGACCTATAGATCATGAGCTCCAACGATCCTTAATCCTAGGTAACTCGACCTTCATCCTAAGTTAACTATGAAGTCCTATTTCTTCATAATTATCCTTAGATTTGCATGGGTGAGAGTGACATGAATTTTCCGACTCAATAAGCCTCTCATTTCAAGGGTAAGACTAGGTCAATAGCTTTCATGGGTGAGAGTGGTAAGACATAGGGTGCAAGATAGATTTCACTCCTACCCGCTTTTAGGGATAGTAGAGAGGTTGTTCTCTTAAGTACTGACTCTAGGTTTTGAACAAGAGGCCCACCCTCTCATTGGCCCGAGAGGGATTCGGTTTGGTGGTTAAGGAACAAGAAGTAACTTTAGGGGTAAAAACGGTAAATTGACCCAGCTCTAGTTACAAACAACCGGTGAAGGATCGACTTACTAATCATGGTTATATCTAATAGACAAAAATATATCTATATTGAGAGGAGTGCAACTACTAGGCTATAGTGGAGTGTCCTAGTAGTTAACAAATGTTAGTTAAAAGGTTAATGAGTTTAGCCAGTTAATCTGGAATCGTTGGAGCCCATGATCTGTAGGTCCATTAGATCCCCCTGCTAGCTCATATCGTACTAAACCTTAGAACAGTGTGACGAGTGAGTTTGAAGTATTCGAACTCAAATTAGGAAATATGCGCTAAATATAAACGATATATTTAAATAAGATTTAAATATTTTAATTATGAATATTAATTAATCTTTTAATATTATTTTGATTTGAAATTAATTATTCTTATTAATTGTTGAATTAAAATAGAGAAAGTCAAAGTGTTACTTCACTTAATCCATGTTTGAGTCAGTGGAATAGTGAGTGTCAATATATAGTTTAACAAAGCATGTTTGCCACATAAAACCACGAATTTGAGTGAAATTTTGAGTATCAAAATTTGGTTTAACCAAACTTGCATGTTTGCCAAATAAACTCCACAAATTTGAGTGGAATTTTGAGTGTCAAAATTTTGTTAATTCAAACTTGCATGCTTGTCACATAATCCCACAAATTTGAGTGGAATTTTGAGTGTCAAAATTTGATAATCTCAAATTTGCAGAAACATGCAAATATCACTCTATAAATAGAGTGATCAAGGTACATGTAAATGGTTCTTAAAAAACTGAGAAATTCTCTCAAAACTCTCTTTACATATACTAAATTCCTTTCAAATTTAGTCACTCACTCGATTTCACGATCTCGTTCTAAGGTGGAGAATAATAGGGAAGACACTAATGGTGGTTCGAAACTGGTTCGGGAGGAAAAATGAATTTAAACTACAAAAAGTTGGTATTTAAACTCATTGAGTTTTAATGCTTTTGAACATGCTAGCCAATTTATTATAATTGATGTACTTTGAGTGCACAAGATCTAAATTGCTTTCCATATGTGTTATATTAACACCATCAGTTCCATTTCTATCGAACATCTTAAGGGACGAGCTAACTAACTCCCTTCTGCTGCCACATTTCATCCTCTGACCAAGACTGATAATGTTACTCTTCAAGTTTGGGATATAGTATACCATGGTTAGTAAACATTGGTCACCATTCTTGCACTAGAACAAGATGGATCATTTGTCTTGTATCAGTACAATTGATCCATCGCCAAACTTTACATTTCCAATAACTTCTCATCAAGCTCCTTGAACTTTGTTTGATCTCCGGTCAAGTGGTTGCTTGCTCCATTGTCAAGGTATCACATGTTGGTCTTCACTCGGTCTTCTCCTTTTTTGAGAAGGTTCACCATAACCTTCTCTTCGTTGAGCATCAAAAGGTTGGGCATCTTCTAGACTAACATCAGTGCAGGCTCTTGATCCTGGTGAGTGTGAGATTTCCCTCCACATCGCGCTACTTCTTGCGACACTCTACTGCATAGTGCCCATATTTTCTACGAGAGTAACACTTGATCATACTATCGTCCTTCTCAAGGTTGGAATTATCGTGGATTTGTGAGCTATTGTCACAGTCTCCTCTGCCAAAGACAGGTGCAGGTGAAGCAACCTAGCATCTCCAAATCCATGTCTACGACCAGGCCCAAGACCTTTGTTTTTCTCGTTATGGCTACCACATCCCCTCGTACTTGAAAAAGAAGAGTCAACAACATCATTCCTTTTCGTCTGTGCGAGCCACTCCACATATGTGAGTAAGAGGTGTTTCTCCTCCTTTTTGTTTTCATAACCAAAATTGTCTCCTCGTGGACCTTAAGACGAACAAAAACCTTCTCAACTAACATGTTCTTAAGATCGCCAAACTGCTCGATGGAGGTAATAATTTGCATGAATCTTAGGAGAATAGCTCGAAGGAACTTCTTGACTACAGTGATCAATCGATAAGATAAGGAACTTCTTGGAGGTAATAAATTCTATCTCTATAAGATGAGAGGTTTTCTATCTATAAAAAAATAGAAGATAGATTGTATGTCAAATAGCGACTCTATGTACCAAATATTAACATATTGATACACATTCAATTTTTAATCGAACAACATGAAAAAAATTGAGACAAGAACGATACTCTTATTTGTTGTATTTAGTTCATAATACTTATTTAGGTTAGACTAACAAACTATTTTTTATATTCAAAACCCATTAGAAGGAAGAGACAATAGAAATCATATAGAAATGTTAGTCTTGAAGGCCCTAAAAATGAGATGTTTTTGTATAACAACTTGATAGCACTGGATATAACATGCACCTCGGGCACGCCCCTAGCTCAACAAGCTTTTTTTATACAAATATGTATACTATACATTAACCATGTTTACTATTAAAGTTTAACTATTACCCTTTACGAATAACATGTATTTAACCTATCAATATAATCATATGGGAAGTGATTTAGTGCCTTTATCAATTACACGATACTATGTCATCTCTTTCCCTTTGAGACAAATTCATATTGAAGATTATTTAACTAGCACTTAAGAGAACCTGCATTATAACTTGGTTATGAAGCCTATAACCATGAAACATAGCTAGGATACTTTAATTTACCCTTCAAGATATGGATAATTACGAAACTGTCATTCTGGCAAGAATCAAATTATCAACAATGACCACTTGCAGCAAATCCATCAAATATCGACTCTTAGCCGTTGGATCTCTTCCCAAATTGGATAATTCTAGAACACTGATAAATCATCACATCCAACGACTAGGATTCAAAACCAAGGTCGGTAGTTCGCTGATGGGAGATGATATTTTCGATTGGTTTTCCAGAAAATCCAACCTCCAATTCACAATGATTCAGGAGCTCTCAATCTCGATTTAAGCTTCCCCTATAAAGTTTGAAGTCGAGAAATATTTTGAAACAAGAATCGAGCAAGGTCGAGCTCCCAATCGTAGTCAATAAGCGTTTAGATTTTAGGTCTTCTACTCTCGAATTTCTTCCAAATTTAGGAGCAATTCCCCACAATTTCCTTTC